GAAGGGTCTAGGCCCGAAACGTTAGCCTTCCTGCTCCTATGATGCTGCTTGGCCTGCTGTGTTCATCCAGCTCTACACCTTGTTATCTCAGTTCATTGTGCGAGGTGGGTTCCACCTAGTGGTGGCATTGGCCACAAACAACCACACAATCATACAGAAGAGGCCCTTTGGCCCATTGAGTCTGCACCACCAAAATGGGCTAAATGTGCCCATAGCCTTGAAAGTCATGACAAATGTTCCCAACTCCCTCAAATTTACTGCACGCACTGCAATGAATGCTTGGAATGAGGTTGCAAGGCTTGGTACAGGCAGAAACCTGAGATTTAACAAACTAGGACTGCTGGTTTCACTGGATGGATGAGCTAATGTGAACCTCCTTCATTTAATGCTTATCGCATCAAAAATTCTCAAGTTCTCTGTTGTCCTGTATACATACCCCTGTCAGGATCATCATCACAAACACTGTGGTGAGACAGGTCTTGAATAATTTGCTCCTTCTTCACTTTTGGATCAAATATGTGCAGCCTGGCTCCCTCATCCAGGAGATATTTAGATATGTAGATACTGGATGACTCCCTGCAACAGAAAGCATTCTTGAAATTCGAGGCCTGTTGGCTCAAAGACCCAACAGCGATCTGGTTTAAGAGACCATGCACTTTATCAAATTGTACAGTTCAGGAGGTGGCCATTTGGGCCAGTGGTTTTGCTAGCTTTCTGAAGAAATGATCCAAATCAGTCCCATACCCCTTCTATTCCCCCATGCCTTACAACATCTTATGCTCTTTCAAAACATTTACCCAATTCCCTTTTGAAATTAGATCATTACCAGAAAAGAAAACCTTTTTAAGAACTTCCCAACTACAGGGAAAAGACAGGAGATTTAAAAAAAAAACTGATTGGCTCTTATAAAACACCAGCATGAATACAATAGGCTGAATGGCCTCCTGCTTCGGTAACCATTCTGCAGATGCATGAGGAAGTGAATTGAAAAATCACAAGCACCATGTGAAATAAATTCTCGCCCACCCCCTCACATTTTCGATTGAAATTCATGATTTTTAACACTTCGTATCACATCTCTCCTTGACCATCTGATCACCTTTGCTCTAAGACATTATCGATAGAATGTGGAGTAATCAGATCAGGCACGATCTTATAGAATGGTGAACTAGGCTTGAGGGGCTTTCTCCTGCTCCTGGTTTAGAATCCTTACAACCTACTCCAGTTTCTCCATTAGTCTAATTCACAGGAAAGAAGTTCCTTACACAAAGAAAGAAATCTTACTGGCCAAAACCCATTCAAAAGTCAAACATACTTCCATTTCTGCAATGAATGAAATATTTAGCATTTGTAAAAAGGAAAACTATGGGAATATTTTCTACGATTATAAGCTTTTATAATAAAAAAAAGCCAATAGTTTTATGAGTCTTTAAAGGAAGGAAATCTGCCATATTCAATCTGGTGTACACGTGACTCTAGACCCTCTGTGACTCTAGACACATTGCTAGACTCTAGACTCTAGCAATGTGTCTGACTTTTAACTGTCTCCTGCAATGACCCAACAAGCCAATCAGTTGCATTCAAGAAGAAAGTCCACCGCCACTTTCTCAGGGGTAGCCAGGGAATGGGTAATGAATGTTCAGCTTGCAAGTGATGCCCACATCTCACGAATGAATAAAAATTCCCAAAACAACATGGTGGACATCAAATAAAAACAGCCAAGTGCTGGAAAAACACAGCAGGTCTGTGAGGAGAGTTAACGTTTTGAGTTGAAAGAAGACTTTGCCAGAACTAGAGATAGAAATGTGATGGCTTTTATACCGTTAAGAGTGGGAAGAGGATGAGAGAATAAAAGGGAAAGTCTGGGGTAAGGTAGAGGGCTAGAGAGATTAATTGACAATGATATCGTGGGACAAATAGCAGAAGACTGGCGAAGATTGCAGTAAATTAACAACAGGGTCCATCTGTATAGGACTGTGTATCTCAGTGTAAGGTCTGTACAAATACCCCAGCAAATTCACCAACTATACCTTGTGTCTCCTGTGTCCTTCTTAAAGGCAAAACCCAACAATCCAATCTTTTTATCGGTGACGGTGTTGAAAAGGCAACCAATTACTCGTGCTGCAAATCTTCTCCGTTGGTAATCGTTAATCTCAATCACCTGCCACATAGGATTACAGAAAATTGATAGGAGCCATTTGGCCCAGCTGGGCTATACTACCATTATGCTGCAATCAATCATCCACCCAATCTATCTCCTCTTGTCCTGTCCATATATCCTCCTAATCTTTTCTCCCATGAGTTTCTGTCACTTCCTTGGAAATGCATCCATGCTTTCTGTCCTGACTAATCCCAGTGGGAATGAGTTCCACTTTCCACTGTTTGGGTAAGAAAGTTACTCCCCAGTTCTTTTTTGGGTTTACAGGTGACTTTCTTCTCCTAATTTGGTTCCTAGATCTTCCCAAGCATCAGACCTACATTCAGAGATGTTCCCATGATCTTGGCTTCCATTTAAGAACATTGCAAGGCAATCAATAGAATCACAAGTAGGCCATTCAGCCCTTCAAGTCTACCCTATGATTCAATATGGTCACAGCTGATACTATATCTCAACTTCACATTCTCACCCCTTCCACCCACCCCGATCCATTGATGTCCCAAGATCAACAAATTATTCATTTTAGCTTTGAAAATACACGATGGAGCAGATAAAGCCAAAGATTCACAACTCTCCAAGTCAAAGAAATTCTCCTCATCTGTCCTAAACAATCGACCCCTTATCCTGAGACTGATTGCTGAAAGAATACATTTGCATCTTGCTTCTTGCTTCTTTGGAAAACTTCCAGCTGGAGTCATGACAATTTCATTCATTCCTCAGCGGATTCTCACCTGTTGCCAATATCTGGCCACTTCTGGCAGATTGAGGGCTTCACAAAGATAAACCAGATTGAGAACATCTTTCTGAAAGCAACTGCCCCCAAAGCCTGCAATTGAAACAGACAATTCTGAAGGAAAAGTTACTGAATAAATTAACGCTCATAGAAAAGAAACTGACAGTGGAGAGGAACTTGGGGTATTTCAATATAAAGTAACAAAATGATAATAGAGAAAATAATGGGACTGAAGTTTTGGGTTTCTACAATAACAGTAAAAGAAGTAGGTGAGGATATAACAGAAGTAGTCACACTTTTTTTCCCAAGCTCTCTTGATTCAGGAAACCCACAAAGTTGTACATTTGCTATAATATTACTGCATTACATTAAGAAGAATGGGAGAGAGAATTACTGGCCTGTCAGGTTAATGTGATTTGTGGAATGTCATTACAGATACTGAATAAGCACTGGAGTGAAAAATGGCCTGACCAGAGTGACATGGTTTGTTAAAGACAAGTTATATAATGACTAATCCAGTTGATACATCTTTTGGAGGAGCTCACTAATAAGAGTGTCTAAGGAAGTCATCTAAATTAACTTACAAAAGATATTCAGCAAGATTCTACATTAAGACGTGTTCTTTTCTCCATCAACTTTTGACTTGGGTTGGAAGTTGGTTGGGAGAGTACAGCAATCTATTCTGAAGTCTCAAATTTTCCTCATATTATCATTTGGTGGTACAGAACTCAACTGTAGCCAGGAGAAGATATTTTGTCAAAGCTTTTCATCTTGCTCACATCAGGACATTTCATGAGAATACCAATTCAAGGGGAAAACCAACAATTACACTGGATGAGAGAACTGTGCTGATTGGTTGGGAAGTGGACTCTGATTGGTAGAGCCATGATTGACAGTTAACAGCCAGTCTTTGTTTAAATTTTAAACCTGACAGGTTAAATTTGATTTGTCAGGACACTGCCCTGAGCAACAAATCAACAAATAGCTGTCACCTATTCTTTAAGTGGAAAACTTGAAAATTTGTTAGTCAAAAATTGTAAGAGTGTGTAATATCTACAGTTGGTCAGCATTTTTGGGTAATCCTCAATGTGTGACAAATTACACTGAGAACCAATTTAGGATTGTCAGTCAGGCTCACAGTGTGGCCCATGGAAGCTCTCTATATCCATACACAGGGCCCTGCTATTTGGAGACACAAAAAAGAGCTACATGCACTATGTATTTTCAACTCAACAAAACAGATGACAGCCATTCACCAGTTCATTTCTCAGGATATTGCCCTGACGAGAGTCAACGTACCTGGTTTAAAATGCCTGAAAGAACACCAAGACATTAAAAAAACAGAAGGCACAATGCTAAAGGGGGTGCAGGAACAGGAGGATCTGGGTTTATATACGCACAAATCATTGAAGGAGGCAGGACAAGTGGAGAGAGCAGTTAATAAAGCTTACAGTGTTTGCTGCTTTATTAATAAAGGCATAGAATTATGACAATAGACTGGAGAAGTTGGGGCTGTTTTCCCTGGAGATAAGGTGGCTAAGAGGAGATTGTAGAAGCACAGAACCCCTACAGCATGAAAGCAGGCTCTTCAGCCCATCGGGTCAACAGTGACTCTTCAAAGAGCAGCCTACCCAGACCCACCCCCTGACCATATCCCTGTAACCCTGCAATTCCCATGGCTAATCCACCTAGCCTGCCCATCCCTGGACACTAAGGGCAATTTAGCATGGCCAATCCACCCTAACCTACACATCTTTGGACTTCGAGAGGAAACCGGAGCACCCGGAGGAAACCCACACAGACGCGGGGAGAAAGTGCAAATTCCACACAGACAGGTGCCCGAGGGTGGAATCAAATCCGGGTCCCTGGCGCTGTGAGGCAGCAGTGCTAACCACTGAGCCACCGTGCCACCAAGATCTGACTGAGGTTTCCAAAATCAGCAGCAGGCTGGACAGAATGGATAGGGAGAAGCTGTTTCCACTTGTAAACATGAGAGAGAATGAGAGAGCATAGATTTAAAATGATGAACCAATAAAGCAAGAGTGATGTCAGGCAAAAAACTTTTCACACTGTAATTAGGGTCTGGAATGCACTGTGTGGAAATGTGGAGGGGGCAGGATCAATTGAGGCATTCAAGAGGGCATTGGATGGTTATTTGGATAGAAATGGTGTGCAGAAAATGGGGAAAATGGCAGGAGATTGGCACTAGGCAATAGAGCTGGACTAAATAATAGAGCTGATGCAAGCACAATGGGCCGAATGGCCTTCTTCTGCACCATAAAAATTCCATGCTTCTATGATCGTGAAAACTTGAAAAAAGACTGACAGTTAACTGTCAATCAGTATTAATGGGTATATTCTCCATGACAATGAACACTAATACCATCCCAATAGTAACAGGTGATGCAGGGGTATAGCAAGGGAGGAACTTAGAACAATGATCATCACAAATGAAAAAGTGTAGACCAAACTATTGGAATTGAAGGCAGGTAGGTCCCCATGGGCTGATGGACTATATCCTAGGGTCTTAAAGGAAGTGGCAGGAGAGATGATGGACCTAATAGTAATAATATTCCAGAATTCCTCAGATGTGGAAAAGACTACTTGATTAGAAAAATGCTAAATATAACACTCCAATTTAAAAAGGCAGGGAGGCTGAAAGTAGGAAAGCATAGAACAGTCAGTTTATCATGTGTTATTGGGAAATAGATTCCGTTATTAAGGTAGTATTAACAGGCCATTTGGAAAATCAGAACACAATCCATCAGAGTCAGCATGGGTTTAAGAAAGGTTAGTCACGTTTGATTAATTTGCTAGAGTTCTCTGAAGATGTAACAAACAATATGGATAATGGGGATCCTGTAAATGTAGTATATCTAGACTTCCAGCATGTAGTGGATAAAGGTGCTGCAAAAAAGGCAAGATCACATGGGATTAGGGTAATTTATTAGCACAGGTAGAGGACTGGCTAACCAACAGAAAGTAGACAATCGAGATACATGTGTCTTTTTCTAGTTGGCAAGATGTAACTAGGGGGGTGTCAGTGGGTTTGGTCCTTCAGGCCCCAACTATTTATAATCTATACAAATGACATGAATAATATGGATAGAAGGTACTGTAACCAAATTTGTCAATGATGTTAAAATAGGTGGGAAAGTAAATTGCAAGCAAGAAATAAGAAATTTACAAATGGATGGGCATAGGTTAGATGAATGGGACAAAAGGCAGATGAAGGTTAACGTAGATAAGTGCGAGGTTATCCATTTCGGTCAGAGGAATAGAAAGACATATTGTTATCTAAACAGAGAGAAACGCCAGAGTGCTTCTGTGCAAAGGGACCTACTTGGGTGTCCTCAAGCATGAATTACAGAAAAGTAGTATGCAGAGACAATAGATAATAAAGAAGGCATCTATTGCTAAAAGGAATAGCGTACAGATGTAGGGAAGTGTTGCAGCAACTATACAAGACATTAGTGAGACTGCACCTGAAGTACTCCATATAATTCTGGCCCCCCCATAAGGAGGGTTGAGATTGTACTGGAGGCGGTTCAGACAAGGTTCACTAGATTAATTTGAGAGATGAAATATTTGTCTTATGAAGAAAGATTGAGCAGTTTAGGCCTATATTCTCTGGAGTTTAGAAGAATGCAAGGAAATCTAATTGACGTCTATAAGATGCTAAAGGGGATTGACAAAATAAATATAGAACAGAGATAACACAGTGTGAAGCTGGAGAAACACAGGAGGTCAGGCAGCATCAGAGGAACAAGAAACCTGACGTTTCAGGTCTGGTTTCCTCATGCAGGGCAATAGCAAACAAGGGGTCATAGTTTTAGGATAAGGGGTGGAAGATTTAAAACTGAGATGAGGAGAAATTACTTCTCTCAATGTGTCATGAATCATTGGAATTCACTCCCACAGTGTAATGGATGCTGGGACACCAACTAATTTAAGAAGCAGATGGACAGATTTTTAATTAGTAATGGATCAAAGGATAATGGGGGAGGGCAGGAAAATGGATTTGAACTCACGATGAGATCAGCCATGATCGTATTAAATGGTGGAGCAGGCTCGAGGGGCTGAATGGCCGACTCCTGCTCCTAGTTCTTATGATCAAAGCCTCTACCAGAGTCTCCTCACCACCCAATCAACACAGTCCTCTCACGTACCATAAATGCTGCTTTCCCCTTGAACTGATATTCTTGCAAATTTTCCTGATGAATGCAAGATGAAAAGCTTTAACAACATGTGCCCTTTTACAGTGATTTACAAAGTTGGTACCAAAACAGTGAGATTACTCCAGAAAAACTGATTAGGTTGAAGCTTTTTACCCTAGAAATAAAAAAAATTAGGTGGAGGGGTGACTTGAAAAAGATCTCATAAATTATGGAGGGATTCAATGGGATAGGTACGGAGAATATATTTCCATCTGTGAGCAAGGTAAACCAGGAGGCCATAACGTAATAGTGGTCACTAATAAATCCAATTCAGGAGAAGCTTCTACAACCAGAGGGCAGTTAGAATGTGGAATTTGCCACCATAGAGAGTTCTTGTGACAAACAGCATCGATACATTTAAGAGGAAGCTAGATAAAGACATGAGGTAGAAAGGAATAATTATGGTGCTGATGTGGTTGGATGAAATAGCGTGACAGGAAGCATAATTGCAGCTTAAATAACAGTATCATCATTGGATAGAATGGCTAGTTTGTTCTGTAAAATCTATGTGACAGGATCCTTACCAACACTGGCTTTCAGGAACTTGCTCCCGATTCTCTGGTCAGTGCCAATGGCATGGGCTACTTCCTCCACATCAGCCCCTGTTGCCTCGCACAAGGCACTGATAGAGTTAATACTGCTGATCCGCTGAGCAAGGAAGGCATTGGCAGCCTACAGAAGGGTCAGGTCACCGTGACGAACAGGGTGGAGGTGATGGGGAAGAAACACAGAAAGATGTTTCATTAGCCACTATATTTCCTTTATACATCTCCAGTGTCTGGGCATCCCTAGAAAGGGATTGGTTGCCCAGCCCTGCTGGAGTGGCTTGCTAGGCCATTTCACAGGGCAGTTAAGAGTCAACCACATCACTGCAGGTCTGGAATATGGAGGAAGGCGATGGCTTTTGTGGGGTCTCCTCCAGATGTTTCCAGGGTCCCGGGTTCAAATCCCGCCATGGCACATGGTAGAATCTGAACTCAATAAAAATCTGGAAATTAAGAGCTTAGTGATGACCATGGATCCATTGTCAATTGTCACAGAAACCCATCTAGTTTACTAATGTCCTTTGGGCAAGGAAACTACCATCCTTACCTGGTCTGGCCTGCATGTGGTTGACTCTAAACTGTGCTCTGGGATATGCAGTAAATGCTGGCCCAGTTAGTGATGTCCTTATCCCTGAGTTGACTTAATTCCTGAGTTTAAATAAAATGGATAAACTGGGAGCGTAAGAGATTATAGAGGTTTATAAAATCATGAGGGGCATAGATAAAGTGAATAGCAAAGGTCTTTTCCCTAGGGTAGGGGAGTTCAAAACTAGAGGACATATTTTAATGTGAGAGGAAAAAGACTTAAAAGGGACCTGAGGGGCAGCTTTTTTGCACAGAGGGTGGTTTGTATATGGAATGAACTGCCAGAGTAAGTTGTATATGCAGGTATAGTTGCAACATTTAAAACACTTTGGGACAGGTACATGAATAGGAAATGTTTAGAGGGATATGAGCCAGTGCATGCAATTGGGACTAGTTTGGTTTGGGAAACTTGGCTGGCACGGACGCGTTGGACCGAAGGGTCTGTTTCTGTGCTGTATGACTTGATGACTCTATAAGCCAGGCTTCTCAAGGACAGCATATTTCCTCATTAGTGAACCAGGAAAGTTTTTACAACAATTAATAATAGTTTCCTGGTCACCAATACACAATTTAGCTTTCAATTCCAAACTTTCTCACAGAATTTAGATCTCACCAGCTGCTATGTAGGCCAGACCAGATAAGGATGGCAGATTTCCACATTAATAAAGTAGGTGGGTTTTCACAACAATTGGCAATAGTTTCATGCTCACCTTTACCAGATTTTAAATCCACATTCTGGTTACTGAATTACCACTACACCATCATCTCTACTACTTATGCACGGCACATCAGTCTCCAATTTAAAATATTATCATCAGGTTCAAACCATACTTACCCAGCTTTCAGACATATCCTTTAACACTGTTACCAATAAAGTCCTGTCGAGAAGGACGTCAAAAATTTTAATGACTCCCCCTCCCCCAGCTTCCAGGTCAGGGCTGACAGTATCGCCATATTTGAAATGGAATAAGTCCATGCTGACTTAACTCCTAAATGATTTGACTTTAGTTTTAATCTAATGCATCCTTTTATAGGATGCCCCAATAGACAAAATACACCGTCATGGGCATAACCCAATGCAAATCAACAAATAGCTTCTTATCATAGGTCATGAAGAATCATAGAGTCCCTACAGTATGGAAGCAGGCTATTCAGCCTATCGAGTCTGCACTGACCCTCCCACCCTTCTACCCTATCCCTGTAACCCCACATTTCCCATGGCTAAGCCACCTAGCTTGCTCATCCCTGAGCACATACAGGTCAATTTAGCATGGCCAATCCACCCAACCTGCACATCTTTGGACAACTTGAGGAAACTGAAGCACCTGGAGGAGACCCACACAGACACGGGGAGAACGTGCAAACTCCACACAGGTGCCCAAGGCTAGAATCAAACCCGGGTCCCTGGCACTGTCAGGCATCAGTGTTAACCACTGAGCCACTGTGCCATCAAGTGTGCTTTCTGAAAAGGATCCAGTAACAGACTGAAAGGTAACTTTTCCTTGGAAAACATTTATAGGGTTTTATGATGAATTGGATAGCTGTGCACAGACATCATGGACCTTGTTCAGTGCCACCCCTTTCTATAATTGGGTTTCAATCTCTTGCACTGAAGGCTGACAGAAATCTGATCCCTGAAGGGCCCCCAACTTAGAAATGCATCATTTTTTAAAAATATCCAAATGTGCTCTTACACACAACTGAACATATTTTCCACCTATTAAGCACCCCCAGTAAATCACCCGTGCTCTCTAACTGATTAATTTACGTGCAAAGCCTATTAAGAATGCAGACCAAAGATGAGGAAGAGGTTGGGAGAGGGGAAGGAGGCTAAATCAAAATGGAATTGGAAGGGGAGATAATGCACTCTACCCCCTACGGTGCCCACTTCTCTCTAAAGGCATTGAGGGTATTGGTGGACAACATGCTCCCTTTTCAAGGACACCTGGCCATGAACATAGCCGAGAAAGAGATTGATGTAGTTAATTAAGATACTACGCACCAGTTTAGAGAGTTCCGATGACCAGGTGTTTGTTGTAATAATCTTGTTCTCTGGGACCCAATGTTCATAGATACTTTTGAGGGCCCGAATGGCCTTTTGCCCTTCAGGAGTCTCATCTCCACCAATCAAAACTCTGTCTGGATTTTTGAGATCGGCAATCGCTGTTCCTTCAGCCAGGAACTCCGGATTAGACAGCACCTTGGGATACACGGATTCACATATCAATATACCGAGCTACACTCAACTCTCTTCCGCTAGAGCATTGTATGGGAGCTCTTCTACCAAGGATCAACGATAATCAGGTAACTTCTCCCTCGACGACGAACCAAAAACTGGGTTTTTATATCCGGATTAGAATTCAAAAAGGTAAAGGTGTCATGCTTCAGCTAACAAAAGCCTGGTCTGACCACACCTGGAGTTACAGTGACCTGTGAGTTTCACACACCACACCTTAGGAAGGATACAAGCAGAAAATCCTGGAGAAACTCAGCAGGTTTAGCAATGTTTGTGGAAAGACTGATTTGATGCTCCTTCAGGTTCTGAGGTGGCATCTTTCTGAAATTACGTTAAACAAAAGAGCCTGCCTATTCTCTAGGTCGGGTATAAAAACTACATAGTGCTGATTTCAAAAAGAGTAGGGATTTCTCCTCAGTTGCCCGATCAACGCTTATTCTTTAAGCGACAGCACTGCAAAAATAAACAAAGAAGGAAAAACAAATTACCTGATTGTTTAACATATTGTCTGCAATATTTCCTACTTTTACAACAGTGATTACTGCTCACATGGTGGTTATTTGGGACAAGTGGTGATTGTGAAAGGTGATTTTCTTACATCTGGACAGTATTGTAAATCAGGGGCTAAAACCTACCACAATCAAGTTTTAAGAGGTTCTCCTGCGGTTGGACTTGAGCAGAGCCATGATGGAATGTCCCCAACACAGTGACAGCAGTATGATACCTACAAGTAACTCACCAAGGCCTCCTCCAACAGCATCTTCCAAAACCCTGACCTTCACAAACTAGAAGGACAAGGGCAGCAGATACGTAGGAACACCACCTCCTGCAAGTTCCCCTCCAAAGCCACTCACTATCCTGACTTAGAAATATATCGTCGTTCCTTCACTGTCGCTGGGTCAAAATCCTGGAACACCATCCCAACAGCATTGTTGGTGTCCCCATCCCTCAGATAGCAGCAATTCAAAGTGGCAGCTCACCATCACCTTCTCTAGGGCAATTTAGGGATAGGTGATCAACCATAACGACACTCACATCCCCTGAAGAAATAAAAGCAAAGGTGCTCTCCTACCTGAAGATTTAGGTTGGGCTTGGTGTTGGCATTGAATATCCTCCGGATGCTCTCTGCTGCTCTCACTGGCACCGTGCTTTTCTCCACCACTATTTTGCCCCCATTGCCCACCTCTGCTATCCGCCGGGCACAGGCCTCAATGTACTTCAGGTCCGCGGCGCGACCCTTTCCAATCCCAAAGGTCTTTGTGGGAGTGTTCACCTATTTACAATCACCAAAGGAAGAGAGGAAGATGACTGAGTGATTCAAGTCAACAGGAGTACCAGTGGGAGGTGAACTTAGCCAGCCACCAGTCAGATTTCAGTCTCAATTCAGAGGCAAGATGCCAAGACCTTGTAGAGGGTCCACATGCAATTTACTTGAATGGTATCGGGGTGGGAATCTTCGGTTATGAGGAGAAAGGGGAAAAAAAACAACTGGGATTATCCTCCTCAGAGCAGTGAGAGTCAAAACAAACATTTAATAGAGGTGTTCAAATGTGCAAAGAGTTTTGAGAGAGTAAACCGGAATTGCAGAGTGATTTACAACACAGAAGACCATTTCACCCATCAAGTTAGTGTTGGTTCCTTGCTTTATTCATTCATGTGATGAACGTGTCACAGGCTAGGCAGCATTTATTGCCCATCCCTAATTGCCCAGAGGGCAGTTAAGACTCAACCACATTGCTGTGGGTCCAGAGTCACATGTAGGCCAGACCAGGTAAGGATGGCAGTTTCCTTCCCTGAAAGACGTTAGTGAACCAGATGGGTTTTCCTGACAATCGACAATGGATTCATAGTCATCATTAGATTCTTAATTCCAGATATTTATTGAATTCAAATTCCATTTGCCATGGCAGGATTTGAACCCTGGTCTCCAGAACATTATCTGAGTCTCTGGATTACAGTCCAGCGATAATAACACTAGACCATCGCCTCCTTAAGTAATCCAGCAAGTCCCACTCCCACACCCAATGGCCTATCCCTCTATGTATATTTCCTTCAAACGCCCATTAAAATTTCCTTTTGAAACCATTAAGCAACTTCCCTTACACAGCCTGAATGGGTCGTGGATTCCAGGGCAGTACCATTCGCTGCAGGGAAATGCTGTTCCTGGTGGGGGATAAAGGGAAAATTAAGTGGATATACTGTTAGGGGAGATGAAGCAAACAGCATAGAGTGTTACATTCTTCTTAAAAGAGCTGGGAAATAGTTGTTCTGTGAATATAACCCACATTCACTGCTGCTTTTCAGTCACGTGCTGAAAGATCCGTCTACTAGTCTGATTGGAAAGGAGTAGGAGACATACAAAATGGAGCTCCAGCATGAGGGTCTAAAACAAACCGTGTATATTTCTAACTTAGGGGAACAAGGAGACTTCCCTTGACAGGATTCGACAACAACTGTGCAAACAAGTTTCACAATGTCCTGAGTTATTAGGAAGAGATGGAAGAGGAAGGTCTGAAACTATAACCAGGAGATGGAAAGGCACTCCTAGAGAAAACAGTAAATCTCTGGCTGTTAAGTCTGCTCACCGATATAAAGATCAGATCTGCTTCTTTAATCGCACTGTCAATATCAGTAGAGAAGAAGAGATTCTGCCCACGACAAGACTCCACCACTTCCTGAAGACCTGGCTGTGCGTAGAATCGGAAAAGACATGTATTGGTTCACAACATAAAAAACAAGCATGGGCTATTATAACTTTAACAACCAAAGCATTTCACGTCTCCAGTATGTTGGTATCTCCATAAACCCAATGGAAATTAAGGTGATGAGCATTCTGCACTTGGGAGGAACAAATTCAACACAACTAGGAGTTTTCTCACCTCTTGTCCGAATCTGGCGGAGACTCACCAATAAAAATTATCAGCTGCTAAGATTAGTCAACAACATGTATTATTATTGTCTCATTGACCTGAATGGTAGGAGACAAACTGGATGAACCTTAGTCTTTCCTTGTCCAACAATTCTTATCCATAGCTGAACCACATGAAAGAGATGATGGGATACCAAACTGCACTGAACCAACTGATTCTAAAAAAGGGGGTTAACAGAATCAGTCACTGCTATGTTTTGAGGGATGGATGCGGGAGAGGGTTAATGGAAATGGGGAGTGGAAAGTAATTCATAGAATCCCCACAGTTTGGAAGCTGGACAGTCAGCCCATCGAGTCCACACTGACCATCCAAACAGCATTCCACCCAAACCCACCCCCCTACTCAATCCTTGTAACCCTGCGTTTCCCATGGCAAGCCCACCTAACCTGCACATCCCTGGATACACTGGGCAATTTAGCATGACCGATCCTCCTTAACCTGCACATCCCTGGATACTATGGGCAATTTAGCATGAGCAATCCACCCTAACCTGCACATCCCTGGATACTATGGGCAATTTAGCATGACCAATCCACCCTAACCTGCACATCCCTGGATACTATGGGCAATTTAGCATGACCAATCCACCCTAACCTGCACATCTTCGGACTGTGAGAGGAAACCTGAGCACCCGGGCAAACTCCACACAGCCATTTGCCTGAAGGTGGAATCAAACGCTGGTCCCTGGCATGGTGAGGCAGCAGTGCTAACCACCTGAACCCCTGATCCTTTCAGCTTGAGTTCCAAACTGCTCAAACAGAGCTTGAAAACACCAAGCCCTCAGCATCCACATACACGGCCCCGCTTGCTGGGAGATTGCAGGATTCAGAGATGCTCTAATGCTTTCTCCTGGTCCACGCCAACTACGTTTGCACAGCATTAGTTGGACAAGTTGCCAGAAGGGAAGTTCAGACATGGGGAATTAAATCCAAGATCGAGCCAAGACGTTCAGGAGAGCCAGGGAGAAACTGGGTCAGTTAACAAGGCTGTGGCAGATTGTACACCAATAATGATGACAGTGACAACAATCGCAAGGCCACAGTACATCATAGAGAACTGTGTCTCAACAGCTATTCCACCCATTTGGCAATCTGGCAGTGGAGTCTTAACGTTGTATTTCAATGATAGACAGCTGCCTTTACAACCTCTGGTTACTCTTTTTCGTTCACCATGTCTATTGTTTATTCATCATAACTGGTCAATTGAACCTGCCAATGAGTATGTGCAATGTTTTATTGCAGAGGAGGGAACCAAACAGTAACAGGCTACTCAGCCAATGGATCCATTTGACATTTTTGCTCTTCACTTGTCTCTCCCCACTCTCCCAAACCCTATTTCTTCTCACCTCATCAACACACCCTCCTATTCATTTCTCTGTCATGAACTTGCCTAGCTTACCCTGAAATATATCCTTGCAGCTCATCTAGTGTTCTTTTCCTCCCATTTACCAAAGAACATTAGCTGTGATTCAGTGGGGAGCAGTCTCCCTTCCCAAGTTAGTTTGTGGGCTCAAGTCCCACTCCAGAAGCTTTGGTAACATCATTCAGGCAAGAGCCCAGGTGCCAGTACCGATCGGTTCTGAGGAAGGGTCACCGGGTCCGAAACGTTAACTCTGATTTCACTTCACAGATGCTGCCAGACCTGCTGAGCTTTTCCAGCAACTTCTGTTTTTGTTCCTGATCAGTGCAGCATCAAGGCATGCTGGCTTCTCTGGAGGTGTCATCTTATGAATGAGACTCTCAACAAAGTCGTCATGTCAAAGGGGAGGTGGGACTTCTCTGTGTGCCCTGAGCTAATGTTTATCCCTCAAATAGCATCACCAAAACAGATTATCCACTCACTTAGTGCAGTACCTTTTGTGATATCTTACTGTGGGCAAATTAACTGCTGCATTACTACAGTAAACTACTCTTCAAAAGTACTTCACAGCCATTGGAATGTTCTGAGATCATAAACGCAAACTTTTGTTTTAATAGGGAGTCATACCCAGGTTGTGTATTCCAATGTGGGTTTTCAGATTTTGATAAAACCTCAAACTTCTTAGCAACTTTTGTCATAACTTAGCAATGAAGACTCACAATTGTGCGCCACTATTCCACAAACCATCACTAAACATATATGAGATAACACAGTGTGGAGCTGGAGGAACACAGCAGGCCAGGCAGCATCAGAGGAATAGGAAAGTTGACATTTCGGGTTGGGACCCTGTGTGATCTCTGACTCCAGCATCTGCAGTTCTTACTATCACTAAACATATATGGAATTTGAAAGGGTATTTTTTAAGTTGTGTAAATTAGGAATCTTTTCACTTTTCTTGTTTAAAGTTAGTTCTGTCTTTTTTTCTCTGTTACTGCAGAAACCTGGTGTGAAATGCTTTTGTCCTGAGTAGCAGTCATTCAGGAGAATTGGTCTTTTGGTGGTCTCACTGGAGTTATATGTTTAG